AAAAATTCCTTTAAAATTCCCCCCAAAATCCCCCAAAATTCCCTAAAAATCCCCAAAAATTCCCTAAAAATCTCCAAAAATTCCTTAAAAATCTCCAAAATTCCCCCAAATTCCCCCCAAAATTCCCCAAATTCCCCCCAAATTTCCCCCCAACCTCCCCAAATCCCGGCAGAATTCCGGATTTTCCCGGGAATTCCTGGAATTCACCTCGGTGACGTAATGCAGCATCGCCATCCGTCCCAACTTCTCCTGCACGGCCCCGAATTCGTGGATTTTGGATCCGAACTGGGAGCGGTTGGAAGCGTGGGAAACCTGGAAAAAATTCCCAAAGTTCGGCAAAATCCAGGAAAAATCGGGAATGGGAGGGAAAAGAGGGAATTGGGGGGGTTTGAGGGAATTTGGGGGTTTTTTGGGGAATTTTTGGGGATTTTGGGGGGAATTTTTAGGGAATTTTTGGGGAATTTTTGGGATTTTTTTTGAATTTTAAGGGAATTTTAGGGAATTTTTAGGGAATTTTTGGGGATTTTTGGGGGAATTTTTAGGGATTTTTTTGGGATTTTTAGGGAATTTTGGGGATTTTTAGGGAATTTTGGGGAATTTTTAGGGAATTTTAGGGAATTTTTAATGAATTTTGGGGATTTTTGGGAATTTTTAGGGAATTTTGGGGATTTTTAGGGAATTTTTAGGGAATTTTTGGGGAATTTTGGGGATTTTTTAGGGAATTTTGGGGATTTTTAGGGAACTTTGGGGATTTTTAGGGAATTTTGGGGATTTTTTAGGGGATTTTGGGGATTTTTTAGGGAATTTTGGGGAATTTTGGGGATTTTTAGGGAATTTTGGGGATTTTTAGGGGAATTTTTAGGGAATTTTGGGGATTTTTAGGGAATTTGGGGGATTTTTAGGGAATTTTGGGGATTTTTAGGGAATTTCTCATCCGATTTTCTCCGGGATTATTCCAAATTTTTCCCAGGATTTTTCCCAAATTTTTCCTGAATTTTCCAGGATTTTTCCCATGATTTTCCCGGGATTTTCCCAGCTCCTCACCGCGTGCTCCATGAGCCCCCGGATGGTTCCGGCCAGGGCCGATTTTCCCCGATTTTTCCCGGGATTTTTCCCCAATTTTCCCCGAATTTTCCCAGGATTTTCCCGGGATTTTTCCCTGATTTTTCCCATTATTTTTCCCAGATTTCCCAGCTCCTCACCGCCTGCTCCATGAGGCCCCGGATGGTTCCGGCCATGGCACTTTCACCCCAAATTTCCTTGGATTTTTCCCCAATTTTTTCCCGAATTTTTCCCCAATTTTCCCCGAATTTTCCCCGGATTTTCCCGGGATTTTTCCCAGATTTTCCCGGCTCCTCACCGCGTGCTCCATGAGCCCCCGGATGGTTCCGGCCATGGCCGATTTTCCCTGATTTTTTCCTGATTTTTTCTGGGATTTTTCCCAACACTTCCCTGAATTTTCCCCGAATTTTTCCGGGATTTTCCCAGGATTTTCCCGGGATTTTTCCCGATTTTTCCCAGATTTTCCCGGCTCCTCACCGCGTGCTCCATGAGCCCCCGGATGGTTCCGGCCAGGGCCGATTTTCCCTGATTTTCCCCGTTTTTTCCCCGAATTTTCCCGGGATTTTTCCCGAATTTTCCCGGGATTTTTCCCCGATTTTTCCCGAATTTTCCCCGGATTTTCCCTGGATTTTTCCCCGATTTTTCCCGGGATTTTCCCGGGATTTTTCCAGGATTTTTCCCTGGATTTTCCCCGATTTTTCCCATGATTTTTCCAGGATTTTTCCCGGCTCCTCACCGCGTGCTCCATGAGCCCCCGGATGGTTCCGGCCAGGGCAGATTTTTCCTGAATTTTCCCCGATTTTTTCTGAGATTTTCCCCGAATTTTCCCCGAATTTTCCCAGGATTTTTCCAGGATTTTTCCCCGAATTTTCCCAGGATTTTTCCAGGATTTTTCCCCGAATTTTCCCGGGATTTTCCCGGGATTTTTCCCAGTTTTCCCAGCTCTTCCCGGGATTTTTCCCAGTTTTCCCAGCTCCTCACCGCGTGCTCCATGAGCCCCCGGATGGTTCCGGCCAGGGCAGATTTTCCCCGATTTTTTCCTGATTTTTTCCCCAATTTTCCTTGATTTTTTCTGAGATTTTTCCAGGATTTTTCCTGATTTTTTCTGGGATTTTTCTGGTATTTTTCCTGATTTTTTCTGGGATTTTTCCTGGTTTTTTCCTGGATTTTTTCCCAATTTTTCCCCAATTTTTTCCGGGATTTTCCCCGATTTTTTCTGGGATTTTCCCCCATTTTTCTGGTATTTTTCCCGATTTTTTCCAGGATTTTTCCAGTATTTTCCCGGGATTTTTCCAGGATTTTTCCCGGGATTCTCACCGCGTGCTCCATGAGCCCCCGGATGGTTCCGGCCAGGGCAGATTTTCCCCGATTTTTTCTGGGATTTTTCCCAACACTTCCCTGAATTTTTCCCCGAATTTTTCCCGAATTTTCCCAGGATTTTCCCATTATTTTTCCCATGATTTTCCCAGATTTTCCCGGCTCCTCACCGCGTGCTCCATGAGCCCCCGGATGGTTCCGGCCAGGGCAGATTTTCCCCAATTTTTCCCCTATTTTTCCCGGGATTTTCCCCGAATTTTCCCGGGATTTTTCCCATGATTTTCCCAGATTTCCCAGCTCCTCACCGCGTGCTCCATGAGCCCCCGGATGGTTCCGGCCATGGCCGCGGCCATCCCGAAGCGGCCGTTGTTGAGGATGGCCATGGCCACCTTGAAGCCCGAGCCCGGCGCTCCCAGGACGTTCCCGGCCGGAATTTTCACGTCCGAGAAGTGAACGGACGCCGTGTTGGAGGCGCGGATGCCCAGCTTCTTCTCGGGGGGACCGCTGGGAAAAACGGGGGGAAAAGGGGGAAAAAAGGGGGGGAAATCATGGGAAAACAGTGGGAAAAATGGGGGAAAAATGGGGGGAAAATGGGGGGAAAATGGGGGGAAATCATAGGGAAAACAGTGGGAAAAATGTGGGAAAAACGGGGGGAAAAGGGGGGAAAATGGGGGGAAATCATAGGGAAAACAGTGGGAAAAATGTGGGGAAAAATGTGGGAAAAGGGGGGGAAAAAAAGGGGGAAAAGGGGGAATAAACGTGGGGAAAACGTGGGGAAATGGGTGGGAAAAGGGTGGGAAAAACGGGGGGAAAAGGGGGAAAAAAGGGGGGAAATCATAGGGAAAACAGTGGGA